TTTGTCATGTAAGACATATTACAAGCAACAGAGAACTAAATAACTGGGTATCTTAACAGTCCACCATAAAAAAAACCACGTAACACTAGCGAACAGTGGGACGCATGCTGTTCAGAACTGCAGAAATAAGAAACTGTAAAGTGGTTTACCTGTAGGTTAAAGCAGCAGTCTTTGTTAGCGGTACCGCAACATTTGTAGTAGTGAAATATACTTGGTGAGGGGCACTGTGTACCAACCACTGGTACAGGACACCATGTTGCACCATCCTGTAAAGTACACAGCAAAAATTCAACGCTCCAGAAATAAAGAATTTTGATCGAATCACTGGTTACAAAAACTACATCACACAGTCTCGTTCAAAATGTACTTCTTGTGACTCATCAATGACAAAAAAAAAATGACAAACTAAGGACATCCCAAAACGCTCAAAATCTTCCCGGATGCTTTTGTCGAGGGAATTGATGGACTAACAGTCCGTTTAGGAAAAGAAAATAATCGGCCAACGCACAGGCTGCTCGTGCGATGATGCGGTTTTTGCATAGCTCCCCGCAGATTTTTGTCGCTAACGGCACTGGTTTTTCCGGCAGATGCTTCTAGCTAAAAGAATTTCAAACTGGCCGCCAGAACTGTCAGGAAACATCCCTTCAAAATTCCAGCTTTCTAGCTTCTCACGTTCTCGAGTTAGCAACTTACCCGGAAGAAACTCTCACGGGCCCGTACGTAGGTATCACGCTTACCCGGGGGTAGAGTTTGAACTCGTTAATACCCACTTGGACGGGGAACATCCCCCTAAGATTTCAGCGCTCTAGCTTCTCAGATCCCCGAGTTATGAACTTACCCGAAAAAAATTTTGGCGGGCCCGTACGCGGGCATCACGCGGGTAATGGTGCCCATGTTGGGGATATGGGCCGGTACGTGCATGTGGATTAAGTTCCCCAGATTTCAGCCCTGCAGCTTTTATAGGTCTTGAGATGAAAGTGCCTGACGGACGCACAAACAGACGCGCAGAAACACAGACAACCCCTCGTCAATATGCGTTTTTGCATTACATAGATGCAAAAAACGCATAAAAAATCCAGGAATGCTGCTAGTTTCCCGTCAGGCAAACCAGCACTGGCTAAAGTGCACGGAAAAATTCGCAGTTGTACAAACAGTTTGAACCGGTGCAGTGAAGTTGGCTGAAGTGATTATTACAGTGAAAATGAGTGAGTTGACGACGGCTTAATTACGATAACAGCTGACGCCGAGTGAAGAGGACGTCACTGTGTGAATTGGCGGATCGGTGGGGCGAGATGAGTTGGTCTATCTATAGTAACGGTGAACGATGAGTGAAAGGAAAGAATCATTCCCACAACAACAGATGCGCAATTCGACCACGGCTAAGAAACACGATCTACCTTGTTTTCGTCACAACCAGACTGTGAATTACACCTGCTGCAGGACTCCGAGAATGATTCATCGAAAGCAAAACAACTGGAAAAAGGGAACATGCAAAAGGGATGTGAAATTTTGTCAAAAGGGACCACAATTACAGTCGAATGTGTAGGTGCGGTACCACAATTTGTAATTGTTAATGTGAATATCACGACACTCGGTTCATCTCATCATTCCCACCAGTTTAATCTATTTTCCGATCCCCGCGATAATCGCATTTCTCAACGAAGTTCCAGTTCAATATCAGCCATTTTTTTTAAAAAAAAAAAAATTCTCTAAAACTTATCGAGATGAAAATTTTCCGGCCGAGAAAGGACACGCTCAGAATGGTCGAAGGCCGAAATGAAAATTACAAATAACTGGGATGAAAAAGCCTAATCTCACCAAAGAACGACAAATAAGTCGTGGAACTACCAAGAAGAGCTTGAAGGTGTTGATGCAAAAGAATGACGCCGTCGCTGCACATAAGACCATAGGAGGTCACAGGCACCTGCCCAACTGTTGGGCCCTAACCAACAAATATTTATTCAAAAAAATTGAAACAACACTCAGTATCACATAAGGCTACTTACAGCCAGTCCTCAATATCTCCCCACACAAAACCCAACACACAACACAAGTGCCTGGCGGTTGTGACGGAAGTGCCGCTGCTAATATGACGAAAGCACTGCTTTCCCACAGTTCGCTCTGCTTTATATAGGCAGATCATCCGGCAGGTACTTGCCCGCTCTATTCTTCGCATCGTTTCACTCACAACACAACGACTTGTGCCAACCACCGAGTGCATCTCAGAGCGAAGCCCTGCTCCCTCAATTGCAGTAAGATTTTGTGAAATGGTACTTCGCCCCAGGAACACCTGGCCGCCAGTGAACCCTGTCAAACGCTGTACACACGCCCTTTTCAAACAGTAAAGCGGTAACAAACCTTGGTGGTGGTCACTTCGTGCATCGCGCTCTCGACATCGCTATCGCTCAGAACCACCACTGCAGCTGCAGACAATAAAAGGAAAGCAGTGAGCATCGTTTCGTACTTCCGCTCTGTGAAAACAATTTTCAGTCGAAAACGCAGAAGGGCCAAACGCGTCAAACGCTACACGATCATTAGCAGCATCAGGAAGGTAATGTGCTTGTCTGTGACAATCTATCGAGTGCCGAAATCGCCTAGAGAGTCGGAGTTTGTGGATCATGCCTTAGTGATGCTTTTGGGAATTGCTGATATTATACAGAATAAAAATTAGACACGATCATTCGTCCTACAAATCTTATAATGAACCGGGGGAGGACGGACTCTGTCTGATCCGAAAAGGATTTTAAACAATTTTTCGCAAACCGTTCTGCGAGCTTTGTTCGGAAGCAGAACACAGTAGACATTCCAATCGTCATTCTGGTCCTGCCAAGTCTCAACACTTTCATCACAGTGCATTATCAGCGCCCTCTGAAATCGTGCAAGGCTACTGCTTTTTGAAATTCATGCAAAGGGGTAGCGTACCAGAATTACATCCAGGTAGCAACATGCAAGGGTTTCGTATGCGATTATGCGTTTTGAGCTCAGACCATTACCATTACAGATGGTTGCTGCTTCGCTGAACATGTGCGTTCGTGCTGGCACAGTTTTCAGTCTTTTCCTGCACGTAGGAGAAGGGCTCCGGCTGGAAGGTTGTAATGTATCGAAGGGATGAGTGAAATCTCAGCCTCCAGCATTATCTTGAAGAGAAGTTATCCACGATTTCGCACTCTCAAGTTTACCGCATTCGTACACAAAACGTAGGCAATTTTGTGAACTGAACTTATGTTTTTAGTGAGGCACAAGATATGATAGCAATTCAGTTCTGCTTCTTTGCTTTTTTAATTAAGAGAGAAGGGCAAAAGGGTAGAAGCTGATTTTACGCTTAAGGGCTGAGAAATGCACGGTAAAATCTTTGCGATAGGCGTGAACATAGAACGTGGCTTTGCACGTGGCGCAGGTACAATCTAAAACTTAAGTAAATAGACGCTAAATGTAAGCTGATTCTCGAACTGAAAAAATACCAACAACGAAGTTTTTTGGCATGTCCGCATGTGTGATGTAAACATACGAAATATTTGGACTTGAAATCCTTAAATTGCACATGGATAGAAAACATTCCTGTACGTACACATA